CGCACACGGCCTAACCCCGGACACACATACACACACACACACACACATGCAGACCATCACTCCCCCGCGCACAGTCGGCGTTTTACCATTGCCGATAATACCTTCTACCCTCCTTTCCCCCCTCCCCTCCCACACAGACTCAGACACACACACACATACAGACAAACCATCCCCTTTCCCCTTTACCTGCAGTATGCTGATCTCCATCCTCTCCGGCTGGTCCGACCCCTGGGTCACAATCCTGCACAGCGCCGTGAAGTGGTTCAGCAGTCCGCAGGGCGCTCCATCCGGGGTGTGTACGGGGCACATGAAGCCCCAGGACTCCGGCAGCAGCTTGCGCACGGTGGTGGTGCGCATCTCCGCAAAGTAGGCTCCGCGGTGGACCGAACGGAAGTGGGAGAGGTAGCGGAAGAAGTTGAGCTTCTCAGCCACCACCTGCACATGCACACAGTGCGTGTGTGAGAGAGTGTCTGAAAGAGAGAGAGAAACTGGACCGTGATCAGAACTGGCGTGTGTTTTAATTTATGATCTTCGGAGCCGCGACGACGAGGGCAAAGCTCATGGTAGACCGAAGCGAGCTCCCCCGTGTAACCAGTGTGTGTGTGTGTATGTGTGTATATACCTGGCAAACCCCAATGCATATACATTCCAGTCACCATCTCCATTGCCCCATTCTCCAATATACACACACACATACAGACAGACAAACAGACAGATAGACACACACCGTAAATCCTGTCGACTGACTGAGGTCCAGTCCGTCTTTGGACATCAGGTTGCCCGTGTTGATCAGGTACTCGAACTTCTGACCAATATCAGGAAGCTTCTTGATCACGTTGTGCATGTACGACTCGCTCTGGAGTTGGGATTGTTGTTGGGGTGGCGGTGAGGGGGTGAGGGGGTCGAGGGGTTAAGGATGACGGGGGTGAGGGTGAAGGGGGCTCAGGTGGGGTGAGGGAGGTACTACGAACCACTGACGTTTGAAGCAGGTACCAGAGATAGGGGGTGGGGTGGTGGGGTGAAGATTACACGTGGGTTGGACAAGTGCGGACAAGGGTGGGAGGGTAGGAGATGCAACAATAAAACGCTGCAGCCGTCCAAAAATAGAACGGAGCTGCCTTTTTTTAGTCAGCGAGATGAGGTGAGGTGGGTTTGGGTGGGGGTGGAGAGGGCTGTGTGTGGCTGTGTTTTTTCCCAGCGAACACGGTGTGTGTTCTTCATTTCCCAACGGTGTCGTGTTCACTACGCGCGTACGGTGTGTATGTATATGTGTTTTGGGGGATGGTGCGGACTCCCCTTCCATCATCATCACCATTATCGTCACTGTCATGCAAAGCCCCCCTCTCTTCCCCTCTCTCTCCCCCCCTCTCTCCCCCCCTTCTCTCTCCCCCCCGCCCCGTTACCGTGAAGTCCACCGACTCCGGCTTGCTGGCCAGGTCCCTCAGGATGAGCCCCCTGGCCGTACCCAGCGCGTCCTCCAGCCTCTCCTTGAGGAACTTGAGCAGCAGGTGACCTGTGTGTGTATTGTTGTGTGTGTATTGTTGTGTGTGTTTTGGTGTGTGTGTGTGTTTTGGTGTGTGTGTGTTTATTGGTGTGTGTGTTTTGGTGTGTGTGTGTTTATTGGTGTGTGTGTTTTGGTGTGTGTGTGTTTATTGGTGTGTGTGTTTTGGTGTGTGTGTTTTGGTGTGTGTGTGTGTTTATTGGTGTGTGTTTTGGTGTGTGCGTGGATGTGTGTCGGTGAATCTGTTACATGTCGATCCGGGCCTGGTGCTGGCCAGAGGCACGTAACCGTGTGACCAAAGGGAACGACCGCCGAAGCACGTGTGTGTGTGTATGGGGGGGGGCTTAGAGGGGTTCATTGGTGAGGCATTGCTGAGGCGCCCGGGTAGGGTAGGGGAGGAAAGAAACCTCAAACCCCTCTCAAACCCCAAATGCCCCACCCCTTTCCCCCTTTTTCCTGCCATCCCCCCCCCACCTCTTAATTCCCCCCCCCCACACACACACACCTCCGCTCCCCCCCCTTCCCCCCAGCCCCCACCCCCTGCACCTCACCCCCTCACCCGGCAACAGGATCTCGTGGTGGGTGAGCGCATCCGGGTTGTCCTCCACGGCCGCCCCGGACACCAGCGCGTACAGCTTGTGTAACATGGCCAGGAGCAGGGCCAGCTTGTCCGCGGGGCGCTCCGGATCCAGGTGGATGAACACGTACTCGCGGAGGAGCACCTGGCCCACCTGGGGCTCAAAGGGGGGGGGAAAGAAGACGAACCACGAACGAGTGAAGCTGCTGGCAAGGAAAGACTGTACAAAGAACTCGAAAAAAACTTCCCTGTTAGTTCCCCTCCAGGGGAAGAGTTCTTCCCCTAAGGGGCGGGAGGTGGTTTCCGGGGGAGACGGGGTAGCATCACAAAGACCTGTACGCGCAAGCACACAGGCGCCTCAAACCCGCCACCCCCCCGCCACCCCCTACCCGCATCAACCCCTCTCACCACACGCACATGCCACACCATCAAACCCAAAGTTGACAACAAACCCGCACGATCCGACAGAATGCCGGTCCGCCCCACCCAACGCTTTCCATTTCCCCGCGTCAGCACATACACACACAAACACACACGCATGCTGCCCATCCTCTCTCCCCCCCCATTCCCGCACCTCGAAGTCGGTGGCTGAAGGGGGCTGCTCCAACACGACTCGGAAATGGCGACCCAGGTACTCGATACACTGCGCGCGTGTATGTGTATGTGTGTTTTGGGGGGGGGGGAGGCAAAGCAACAGTAACAGGTGGCGTTGTAACGGGGTGGGAAGAACGACGACAAGGACAACAACATGCACAGAAGTGTCCCAACAACAAGTTCCCAAATTACAAAAGAGGAGCGGCAAGAGAAGCGGTTCCGTGCCGACATCGACGTCCTCCCCAAGGCCTTCCCCCCATCGACATATCCCCCTCATCCCGGCTCAGATCATAAAAACACCCGCACCCCCAACTCGCACCCCGGTCCCCCCTTCCCTCCTCCTCCCGCCCTCACCCCACCCACGTACCTGCGTCTTCGTCCTCAGCTCGGGTCTGTCCGCCTGTCTGAGCAGCAGCTCGGCCCGCTCCGCGAGGAAAGCCGCCGCACCGCTGCCCGGGGCCGCACCCGCCACCAACTTGACGTACAGCTCCCGGTCGCTCACCTGCCCCCGAACCACCATAACCCACATCGGCATGGTCATCATTTTGTAATCTGCAATTAGGCAATCGACCCCACCACCACCACCACACACACACCCCTAACCACCGCTCCGCCAGCCACCTCGCGGCCTCCAGGAGGAGCCCTGCCCCATTTGCTACGAGGTGAGTGCCGCATGGCTCCATGAATCCACTAGAGTCGGGTGCTATGAGAAAAGAAGGTTGCCCTCAGACGCCCTCTGAGGCGCCCGT